GTCAGTAACTCGCAAATCAGCAAATAAATGAAATTAAATGGGGTTTAACGTCCAACTGTTCTACGCCGACTGGGGTAATGAAGACGGGCAAACGCGCTTTGAGGGAAATTTTGCCCGGACTACTCTTACATCGAATTCAAACTTCCAAGGGATCTTTTACCTTCACGCCAATGTGTACACGGGACCTCTGTTTTTCGTCCATTGCCAGGCTCCCTTCCTGAACCACTGACAAGCGGGAACGACCCCGAAAACAAATATGTCTGACTCTTTCACAGGTTTCATTGGTTTCCAATTTAATGGTCGACATCCGGGGGCGCAGCAAGTCAAAAGGATATTACATTGTCTAGTTCTTCTTGAAATAGATCTCTATCATTGGGAGGGGGGGGGGGGGCGTGTGGTGTTGGTGGCTGGGGGTATATTATATCGCATAAAAACATATTTTCTCCAATTTCTTTGACTTCTATCCATTTAATCCCTAACTGTGAAACTGTTTAACAATTTCAAACAATTAGGCATACATTTTCTGGCGATCAACTATTAAATTATATCTTGACATCATCAGGTGTATGGTTGGATGTTTGGAGAAATTGGCTTGGATCGTTCCTTGTATGATACAATATCAAATGATATTACATTTTCATAGAGACTTACGGCGGATCGTTTATCGAAATAACTTGTCTTTAGGTCATTTGGGTAGCCTTATTATTCCGGAGAATTTAGGGATCGATTGCGGGGACCCACTTGTCGAGCGAATCACCGAGAATTGAATTAGAACCTATTTAATTCGCATACTGTTGCTAATCACGGGCTACAGCCACCTAAAAATAAATCACACATTCCAAGGACATGTTGCCGACAGCCCCGCATGCCTCCGCTGTCATATATTTGAAGATCCCGATCATTGCCTTCTGCGATGTTCCTTACATTCAAATTCACGAACAGAAACAATAGATAAATTACAACATGATTTTAAAACTATAAACTGCCTTTTATTCGGCTCTACAACCTACAGTCTTTAATCATGTCCACAAGTTTATAGATATGTCAAACACATTTTAATCTCGATCAAATAATACTTTATCGTCTATTTTATGTATAATATTGGCTAGTCTCTCTAATGTTGCCTATTAGTTAAAAACCTCGTACTATGGTTGTATATGTATAATTATTAACTACTATATATACTGTACATTTTCACCAATTTTATTATATTTATATAATATGTATGTGTTTGCCATTTTAACTATGTATATACAACCATTTTGCATTAATAATATATATATATATATACAAATTATTTAGGGAGGGTTTTTTTTACATAGACTAAGTCTGTTCCCCCATCCCATTCAAACAACCTGAATAAAAATATTGTTTTAAAAAAAAGTTAAAAAAAAATAAATCACATTTACCCCCCCCCTCCCTCACATACACACACCACAAACTTCAAACTGGTATTAAAATTAACACTATAACATTACTCATTTATTTCAATATACATTATTACAGTTAGAATCGGAAACATCTATCCGGAACATTGACACAAATAAACCTCTCTTACTTGAGAAACGTTAGATCTTAGAAATTCACAATGTTGATCAGATAAGTGTGGATGTAGAAACTGGTATTAATGAGAGTATTTCCCGTACACCAGGACCTGTACACCAGGATAGTACGTAAAATGGGAAACCCGTTGATGATTAATGTCGTGTATATATAATTTAACCTCTTGATATTTTCTTCCTTGTTCGTCATGAGGGGGGTTTGGTGGCTTAATGGTTAGCGTGCGCGCGCTGTATCATAAAGTCTGTCATTGAGTCGACTGGCGTGGTTTCGAATCCCCGGGTGTACGTGACAAGGAGTAGGGTCGCCTGTCCAACCTCGTGGGTTTTCGCCTGGTTCTCCAGTTTCCTCCCACTGCTAAAGACCCCTATGCGCAGGCGAATTATTGAAATAAAATTAAACCATATGTTAGTCCCGAAATGACCTAGTTGTGTCGAGTGGACGTTAAACCCATTTCTCTCTCTCTCTCTCTCTCTCTCTCTCTGTCTCTGTTCGTCATGCACGTCAGAACATAATGCAAGAAAGCCAATAGGCCCACACAGCAGGTTTGTCTCAAACAAGCTGTCACTTGCTAGGCCCTCCGTCCTGCATCATTGACAATGGGGAACCAAAACGAAAAATCCCGACGATCTTTCTCGGCTAAACCAGGATCGAGCACGGGACCTCTATGTTAGCAAGGCAGCGACTTACTAGCTGAACCACCGGGGTTCACCTTATTAAAATGAAGAGACCAGAAGCTCTAGTTGTCATAAATTGTTACAAATAAAAGAGAGGATTGAATGAAGCTATACCAATCATGTGTGTGTGTGTATAATATCCATGTTGGCACGCCACGGTGGCTCAGTATGTAAGACATAGAAGACTCACTATCCAAGAGATACCGGGCTCGATCCCGGTGATGGCCACGAAAGGTCCTCGGAATTTGTCGGTGGTGCAGGAAAGGTGGTCTGGAAAGGAAGCGTGTCTAATCCCTTGGATGAAAATGAAGTGAAATGAAATGAATAGGGTTTTATGACACGTCACCTGCAACCAAGCTATATTGCACTAAACATGTGGCGAATTTAACGAGACAAATTAACACATTATCACAGAAATGTATTCATATATGTAAATAAAAACAAATATCACAGAAAGTATAATTAAAACTAAACATATCAAATCTTTTACATACATCAATATTTAAAACATAATATTAAATGAAATGGGGTTTAACGTCCTACTGGTTTACTCCGAAATGGGCTAATGAAGACGGGCATACAGTGTGCTACGAGGGAAATTATGCCCGGACAGCGGTACTACGGCCTACTCTTATATCGAATTCCAACTGTCAAGGGATCCTTTTCGTGCACGTCAATGTGTACACGGGACCTCGGTTTTTCGTCCCATCCGAATGACTAGACAGCTGTCCTTGTCAGGCCCTGACAAGGGGGAACCACGCCGGAAAATCTGGATGAACTTTCTCGGCCAATGCTAGCGAGCCAGCGTCTTACCCACCGTGATCCCTTACTAGACAAGGACATATAAAGCATGATAAAAAAATAAAATACAGTAATTGCTCTATCTGAAGGAGCTAAATTGCTAATATTTGGGACCTAGAAATTGACACAAATGGGTCGCAATTCATATAATAATGTAATATAAATGTATATAAACTGATTTACATTCAATCATTTCAGTTTTAACTGTAATTTCTAATCATTTATGTTCGACGAAATACGCCAGAAGTCTCAATCGAATGGCAATCTCTAGCGTCTGGTTATTGCAGTTTACACAGATAGTAGTTATTGCACATGCCCTCCAGAGAATGGGGGGGGGGGTGGCCTAGTGGTCTAGAGTGCCGCACTTCGACCGCTAGCTGGCCGGTCACCTCAATCGAATGACAATCTCTAGCGTCTGGATATTCCAGTCTACAGAGTATTTATTACGCATGCTCTGCAGAAAATGGGGGGTTGGGATGGCCTAGTTTTCTAGAATGCCGCGCTTCGACCTCTAGCTGGCCGGTCACCTCTGGATTGCGGCTGTGCTTTCCATCCCTGGTGTGAGCGTATGTGGCTTGGAAATAGGGGCGCCTTCTCAACCTCGTGAGTTTACCCGGTTTCCTCCCACAGGAAAGACCCCTGTGGGTGCGCTGAGATAATACAAATGAAAAATAAGACTTGTCTGCGATATTACCTTCGATGGAAGCGGACGTTAAACACTAAGAACAACAACAAAAGGCACCGAAACGCATTATGATACACGATTCGTGTATCAGTAGTAAAAAGTTTATTTTGTTTTAAATATTCGATATCGGAAGCCCAATCTGATTAAAATACAGATCTAAATTTCATTTCGTTTTTTATACTTTCGATGTCCTACACTACATGAAGGTCTGACCTGTTGTAATGGGAGGTCGCGACAGGGGTCATACGAGTGGCTTTCTACCCTATGACGTCAGACATTGATTAATCAATCATCGTTGACGTTTCTACGGGTTTCCCCATGGTTCCGTGCAGAGTACCTCAAGAACTCGCCGTAACAGACCGTTTCATTGGCTAATTCCTCAACCAGAACGCCTGTTATATAACAACTCTTCCAGATCCTAGTGCTCTGAAGACAAGTAAAACGAAATTTTGAACTATAAAAAACGAAACGAAATAGGATCTGTGTTTTAATCAGATTGTCAGAATCCCATCTTTTCTCGGTAAGATCCCAACATCAATGTTGATTTAATTGTATTGAGTTAGAGACTTAGCTACTTTAAATAACATTTATCTATGTATTTATATAAATTATGTCTAGTAGCCAAGAACATATATATCCATACCTTTAATATAATATAAGTAAAGCATGATAAAAGACTAAATACAATAATTACTAGTTAATCTATTGAAGTAGTATTAATATTTATACTTATATAAATTATGTTTAGTAAGCAATGGTACATATACCCCCCATTAAAAATAAACTATGTGTCATCTATATACAAACTAAAAATAAAAGATCAAGAATTTTGAATATTTTATTTCATCAAAAAGGAATGAATGAATGAAATAGAGTTTTATGGCACGTCAGCTCCAACCGGGATATATGGCACCAAACATATGGTGAATAGTATAAGACAAATTAAAAGATATCACATAATGTGTTCATGTACACAAATAAAAACAAATATCACAGTATATTAAATAATTTCAACAAGGTGGGATATTGATTGCTTTTAATGATTAGTTTACTTTAATGTATTTAATAAACTGGTTAGATCTGTGACAAGGTCATCATTGTGTATTTAAAGAATAACAATGTTGGATCTAGGTGGGGGGCACTTGCCATACCCCCCCCCCCCCCCCACAACCCTCATAACATAATACAGTTGCCCCCTTATTATGCATGTGTTACATATAAAATCAACTAACGACAGAATGGCGAAACAGTTGCTGTCTATTCTTGTGAGTGTTTGATAGTCAGTTTTAAGACAAACTTGCCTCTCGCATCGCAAATATGACAGGATATAGTAATTGTCAGTCATGTTCAGTGACCAATAGCTCGTTATAAAGATAAACGCGCTGACACAATCTTCACACTGTGCTGATATAAACGACTGTGTTGGTATCAACAATACTGTACTAATTATAAAAGCTGTATACAGTCTTCACACCGTGCTGTTATAAACAGAAAGTTTAAGGTAAATATGATACAAGTAATTAATGATATTTGAATTTCAAGGGATCTAAAAAAATAAACCAACATCTCGGTTATTTTGAGACTAAAATATGATATTCTATGGTTATATTGCAATGCGAAATAGGAAACAACGTTTCATGCTGTTCTTGGAATTCCCGCTGTCATAGATTCCTATACAGTTTGAACCAGTGATCACTCTTGGTTTCATTTTTTTTCCGCCAAATTTTCATTTTAATTTATTAGCCCTATATTTTCTCCGCCAAAATAAAGAACAAATATCTTTTAGATTTTTTCAGTATTTTCTTTTTACATAAGTACATACAATATACATATGATATTACAATTTACAATATTCTACTCTGCTTTGCAGAACCCATTTTTTGAAAGCTTTTCCAACATCTTGGTTAACCACTTTTCCATTACTTAGTAACATTAAATTACACAGTGATTAATGTGTAATTAGTACTGTCCGAACGATTATGTAATCTTTCGTTCTTGAACCCCCGCACATGATGAACGAATATAAAAAAATCAGAAAGTTTTTCTAGGTCTACTCCTGGATTCGCGCTTTGGATATTTTAGTCCCTATTGCTCGAACCTAGGATATTTTAGTTCCTATCGCTCGAACCTATGATATTTTAGTGCCTATTGCCCGAGCCCGGGATAAAGGCACTGATTTTATTTTATTAGAATAACTCAATTTACAAACTTTAAATAGTCTACCAAATGAATTAAAAAAAAATCAATTTTGTCCACGATGAAATACTTTAATTGTTTTTTTTTATGCTCAGTTATCAAATGCACTTTACTTGGTGGTCATTTTACTTGATGACCGATGCATGCTCTGACAAACTTTATATCAGATAAAAGTACAAGGTAAATTTCTTGTACAGCAGGGTAAAACAAAAACGACAAGCCCATTACCGATTTGAAGCAATCAGGGGATCACGTGGCTAAGTGGGTAAGACGCTGGCTCGCTAGCCTGGAGCAGAACAGTAGGACGTTAAACCCCATTTCATTTCATTTTTTGAAGCAATCATCTGCAAGTTTCCGATCTTTGCTGGAGAATTGGATGGCCGAATGGTTAGCACGTGCGGGCTGTATCATATGATCTGTCATTGATTCAACTGGCGTGGTTTTAGTTCCCTGGTTGTACGTGACAAGGAGTAGGGTCGACTGTCCAACCCCGTGTTTTTTCTCCGGGTCCTCCGGTTTCCTCCCACTGCTAAAGCACCATACGCGCAAGCGAATTATTGAAATAAAATTGAACCATATGTTAGTTCCGAAATGATCTAAGTGGATGTTAAACCTCATTTCTCACTGATCTTTGCTACGATCTAAGCATTTGCTCTGTATAGGTGGCCATTGACTCACAATTCTCATGTGAGCCTTTTTGTGTTGTCAGTTCTAAGAATAAAGGAAAATGTCTGCCAAGGTCTAGGAACGTTAGTTCATAGATGTTCACACGAGTTCCATAATATATTGTAGTGACCGACATTCGAATAGGAACATTTCACTACAAGAGAGAGACAGAGTAATGGGATTTAATGTCATCTCTGGCCGAACATACGGTTCAAATTGGAATAACTCTCTTGCGCGGGAGTCTTTTGTACTGGGATAAGATTAAATAATAGAGCAGTCGTCTTTACTCCTTGTCACGTACAGCTGAAGGCGAATTTCTGATCAGAACTATTTGTAAATTGCGCAAACTGTTGAATTGGTTTTACGTCTCCTATAAATAAGCTGTATCGAGAGAAAATAATTCATTCTATGAATGTAATTTCTGGTTTGGAAGTTAGACCTACCCAATACTAGACCGGCAACTGCACGTCGTAGTATGACAGTCCGCCTAATAGTTTTTCCTGGGTTATTTAATTTCAGTATGCGTAGATTCGGAATCCGGATGATGGCACCCTCGGAGAAATTGAAATATGCATGATGGTCGCCATGAGGCATTTTCTTTTATTTAGTTGGGTAACATTCGTGACAAATTCCCTCAGACGCCGAATCCAATTGGCTTGAGTAGCCCTCTGAAAAGTTAAAAATTGAAATATAGGTGTGTAAAATATTGAAGCACTGTGGGAGTGGGGGTTCCGGAAGGTTGCCCCCCCCCCCCCACCAACGGACACTAAAACCACCGTGGATGGCGGCATTCTGTGCTATGTGTGGTGCAGGACAGATGACTTGGCAAGAGGCAACATATAGTCGTTCGGTGGGACGAAGCACTGGAGTGTCGTGTACACAGTAGCGCGCACGTAAAATAGCCCTTGGCAGCTGGAGTTTGATATAAGAGTAGGCCGTGCCGTCGCTGTCCGAGCTAAATGTCCTCCCTAATACACGGTATGGCGTATACCCGTCGCGAACACCGTTGTGTGGGATGATGGCATGAATCGATTAGGTGTTAGTTTCCGTGTTCGCTTGTGTACTTTAGAGGTTTCAAGGCGCGTCCCAATAGTTAAATAGTTAATCTGAATGTAATTGTTTGTGGACTCTCTACAGGTCACAATTTTTATCCGATTGCAACGAAACTTGTAATATAGGTTTATCTCCCTACGACCTCGTTTTCATTCGATATTGGCATGTATCGGACCGTAACTTCATGGATTATGGCCCCTTACTGTACGAAAAATCTCGTTTTTAGCTTGTGGACCTCTAGAGGTCACAATTTTCTTTTGATTTTGATGAAACTTGAAATGTAAGTTTATAACCCAAAGATGCCGGTTCCTGTCGATATTCGCGCATATCGGAATGTAACTTTCTGAATTATGACCCCTGATTGTACGAAAAATCACGATTATAGCTTGATGTCCCTCTAGAAGTCACAATTATTATCCGATTTAAAAAAAACCTCTCGGATATATCACCGTTACACCGTAATTTTGATTAAGTTCGAATTTCATGAAAATCTGACCAAAACTGCCTGACAAAATGGCCGCACCTAGTACGCAAATACATGTAATGTAAACATCTGGTATATCAAGGTTGTAGACCCACTGGAGGTCACAATTTTGATCCGATTTTGATGAAAATTGAAATGCAAGTATAACCCAAACATTTTGGGTCCTTTCCATATTCGCATATTCGAATAGAAACTTCCTGAATTATGGCCCCTGATTGTACGAAAAATCGCGTTTTTAGATTGCGGTCCCTCTAGAGGCCACAATTATTATCCGATTTAAAAAAAACGTTCGAATATATCGCTGTTTCATCGTGATGTTTGTTGAGTTCGAATTTCATGAAAATTGGGCCAAAACTGCCGCACAAATAGCGCCCCCTCGTACCTAAATATAGCATCTGGTATATCAAGATTGTGGATCCTCTAGAGGTCAAAATGTTGATCCGATTGTGATCAAAGTTGAAATACTTGTTTATAACCAAAAGATCTTTGTTCCTTTCGATATTCGCCCGTATCGGATCATAACTTCCTGATTTATGACCCTTACTTGTACAAAAAATCACGTTTTTAGCTTGCGGTCCATGTAGAGGTCTGAGGTTTTATCCGATTTAAACCAAAACACGTGAATATATCACCATTACACATTAAGATCTTGGTTCCTTTTGATAATTGCGTATATCCGAACGTAACTTCCTGGATTATGGCCCCTGATTGTTCGAAAACTCGCATTTTTAGCTTGCGTATTCTCAAGAGTTCACAATTTTTTTTCCGATTTTAAAAACCGTTTAAATATATCACCATTCCACCATAATGAAGGTTGAATTCGAATTTCTGGAAAATCGAAATGAAACTGCCCGACAAAATGGCCACTCTTTGTACGCAAATTGTGTAAAAGTATGCAATACGAAGGTTGTGGACCCTCTAGAGATCACAATGTTTATCCGATTTTGATGGAGCTGTTTTTATGTGTTTGGGGTGATACGAATTGAATTCGAGATAGTATGTCTAATTCAATTCGTGTCACCCCAAACACATAAAAACGTCTATACCATATAATTTGGCCAGGCGTATCTGTACCATTGTGTCTAACACAGCAACTAAATTTCAAAGACTAGGGGAATTGATAGAATTTCTGTTAGCCCGCAAATATCCCTAAACATTAATTAATGACGAAATTCAAAGGGCTAGTAAAATACCGATAACGGAATTAAGGCAGGAAAAGATAAAAAATACAAATCACAATATAATTGCATTTGTCACCACCTTTAATCCTCACAATCTTAATTTTTCCTAAAATTGCAGCGTTACAGTAGATTAAATCGGGTCTCCCTAATGAACAAAACATAAAAAATAGTACTCACAAATATAGACGTCATCACACTTGAGACGAAATTTGTTACGAAAAACATTATATTTATCCGAAATTTCAGGTTGAAAACCTTAAAAGCAACCCAAATGAAAAATCAAAAAAAAATCACTATATTGCAAAAAATTGCAAATCGGGTCCCCGTTATGCGCAAAAACTAATACTTACAAATATACACGTCATCCCACTTGAGCCGAAATTTGTTTCGAAAAACATTATCTTTTTAATAATGAAACTCATGAATTATGTACTTTTTCACTCATTATTCTATGGAATATAGGTTTCCACTTTAAGGAGACCAGCTGTCTATAAATATACGAATTAAAGACTCCGTTAGATTATAGGGGGGGGGGGGGCAACAGTTAAGTATTAAACATAAAACGTCCATATGAACATGTTTTCCTGTCGGTTATAGTAACAACAACTAGAAACTAATCCAAAATATAGCAGTATTTTTGTGTTTTTGGAACCGACATCACACTTTGATGTGCCCGTCCGTCCGTCCACAATTGTTTGTGGACATTCTACAGGTCACAATTCTTATCAGGTTTTAACGAAACTTGAATTATAGGTTTATCCCCAAAAGATCTCGGCTGCTTTCGATATTGGCATGTATCGGATCGAAACTTCATGGAATATGGCCCCTGATTGTACGATAAATCAAGTTTTTAGCATGTGGACCCTCTAGAGGTCACAATTTTGAACAGATTTTGATGAAACTTGAAATGCATATTTATAA